CCCGTGTTTAAGTTGGCTGTGGCTCCAAAAAGGTAACCAAAATAGCACCTTGGTATATAGAAACAAAGACTTAATAACGGCCTAGCTCTAGCTGCTAAGTTTTGAGCCACTCCCATGCGGAATTTTTTATCCCTGGTCGGGCTTGCGTGAAGACGCCATGCTGCCCAGTCAGGAGCAGGGGCCAGCAGTTGTTGGCATTCCCCACCTTCCATCCAGTTCTTCGTTCACAGTACTTTTGCCCATTTCACAATTCGGAGCAAGGTCTGTGCTTTCCCATTGCTACGCCGCGAGACGAGCGTAGACTCGAGCGCTGATGTTTTAGGCGCAAGCCACTACATCAGTGCCACAAGAAGCGTGGGAGTCAAAAGAGATCAGAGCAAGGTCTCCATTCTGCGCTGGGTTGAGTTGCGAGACTCGAAGCAAGCTGCTGGTAGTTACAAATTGCTCCGCATGCTACTTGGATGCGCTTGGACCGCCGAGGTCGACCCATGTTCTCCCGCTGCACAAAGTGCTGCGCCGGTTTCAGGCAGGATGAGCCCCATGCCAAGATGCGTTTGAAGCCAGGTGCAGCCAGGTGCCAGCCAGGCGATACGACTTTGCTGCTGCCATGGTGTAAACAAAGCGCCAGAGACCTCTCCGCATAAAACTTGTCAATCTTGAAGCAAACCTTCCTGGAAGCGCTTCCCAACTGCAAGGCCCCTTGAGTTGAGCTATGTCAATCGAAAGGACACGAGGACAAACGCGAGAACGTGCACTCCCACAGGTTTCTGTTCTGAAAGCGGGGTGTGGAAGCAGTATGGCTTAGGCATGGAGTTGTGGTCAATGAAGCAGGTTGGTGGCTCCTCTGGCTTGTTTATGTGGTTTCTGGTAAGAAGAGAAGAACAAGTTATGGCTATCTAAGCAGGACCAACGTAAATGAGTTTCGGGGGCGTTCCTGCTTGACCTCCTGCAGTGTAAAGAGACAGATGCGACCTGTGAAAAATCCGTTCTTGGGGGTGTGGGTACAGCGAGCTGACCCCAAGCTAGGGGATCTCTTTCCAGTTGGCGGATCCTGGGAATCTCTGGGAAGCGCAGGGAGAGCTGCGCTGTGTGGTTTGTCGGATAGGGCGAACAATTTCCGGGTGCCGAACAGCAGCTCGCCTTTCGCCTTTGATTCGAGTTTCAGAGTTCCACTTGTGTGATGGATGTAGGACGGAGTATGCCATCCATCGTTTCTCTTGAGCTAGCAGATACATCTCGACCCAGAGGTGGTTCATGTGCTCCTATGAAGGAGATCCGGAGTTCAAGCCGACGTGATGTAGGGTCAACCTAAGCAAACTTGCGAGTCTTCCAAAAGCTAGGGGCCTTCCCATCTGACGGTTTGAAAGGGAAACCGAACGGAAGCCGAAAAGCCGCCTGGTTAGACGGGGGTGGGGCCCAATTGCGCTTAGGCATGCGGTATGAAAGGGATTCATGGTCACAGCCAGTGTCATTCCCGCCTCTCGCTCAGGGCATCATGCAGCTCCACGAGCAGCGCAAGGCGACAAGTTGAGCCTTTGGCTTGAGGAAGCAGCGATGATACCAAGCCGTTAGAGGTCCGGTGATCTGGTGTATTTTCGCTTGCTTGGCTTTGCTTTGCCTTGCTTGGCTTTGCTTTGCCTTGCTTTGCTTTGCTTTGCCTTGCTTTGCCTTCCTTTGCCTTGCCTTGCTTTGCCTTCCATTGCCTTGCTTTGCTTGCTATGCGTTGCCTTCCTTTGCTTTGCCTTGCTTTGCCTTGCCTTGCCTGCTTTGCTTTGCCTTGCTTTGCCTTCCTTTGCCTTGCCTTGCTTTGCCTTCCATTGCCTTGCTTTACCTTGCCTTGCTTTGCCTTGCTTTGCTTGGCTTTGCTTTGCCTTGCTTGGCTTTGCTTTGCCTTGCTTTGCCTTTGCCTTGCTTTGCCTGCCTTGCCTGCTTTGCCCTTGCTTTGCCTTCCTTTGCCTTGCCTTGCTTTGCCTTCCATTGCCTTGCTTTACCTTGCCTTGCTTTGCCTTGCTTTGCTTGGCTTTGCTTTGCCTTGCTTGGCTTTGCTTTGCCTTGCTTTGCTTTGCTTTGCCTTGCTTTGCCTTCCTTTGCCTTGCCTTGCTTTGCCTTCCATTGCCTTGCTTTGCCTTGCTATTTGCCTTGCTTGCCTTGCCTTGCCCTTGCTTGCCTTGCCTTGCTTTGCCTTGCTTGCCTTGCCTTGCTTTGCCTTCCATTGCCTTGCTTTACCTTGCCTTGCTTTGCCTTGCTTGCTTTGCTTGGCTTTGCTTTGCCTTGCTTGGCTTTGCCTTACCTTGCCTTGCCTTGCTTTGCCTTGCTTTGCCTTGCCTTGCCTGCTTTGCTTTGCCTTGCTTTGCCTTCCTTTGCCTTGCCTTGCTTTGCCTTCCATTGCCTTGCTTTACCTTGCCTTGCTTTGCCTTGCTTGCTTTGCTTGGCTTTGCTTTGCCTTGCTTGGCTTTGCTTTGCCTTGCTTTGCTTGGCTTTGCCTTGCCGTGCTTGCCTTGCCTTGCCGTGCTTCGCTTTGCCTTGCTTTGCCTTGCTTTGCCTTGCTTTGCCTTGCTTTGCCTTGCTTTGCCTTGCTTCGCTTTGCCTTGCTTTGCCTTGCTTTGCCTTGCTTTGCCTTGCTTTGCCTTGCTTTGCCTTGCTTTGCCTTGCCTTGCTTGCTTGCTGTGTTTTCCTTGCGTTGCCTTGCCTTGGCTGTGCTTGGCTTGGCTTTGCCTTGCCTTGCTTTGCTTTGCCTTGCTTTGCCTTGCTTGCTTGTTTGCTGGCTTGGCTTGTTTGGCTTGGCTTGGCTTGGCTTGGCTTGGCTTGGCTTGGCTTGGCTTGGCTTGGCTTGGCTTGCTGGCTTGCTTGCTTGGCTTGGCTTGGCTTGGCTCGGCTTGCTTGCTGGCTTGCTTGCTCTCTTGCTTGTTCGTCCATGTGTTTGTCTGCCTGCCAATCTGTCTGTGTGTCTGTTTGATTGTATGTTCTGTCTGCAGATTTGTTTGTATGGGGAAACGGCGACACCAGCTGATGGATGAGCGAATGCCTTTGAGAGGTTAGCCTCTTTGAAAGAGGTTCAACATCAACATCCAGAATCAGGAAAAGAACAATCGAAAACACCACCAATTTCCACTTAAACCGATTCTTTTGGGGGAACCCCAAACCCTTTCTGTTCTTCACAGGATCCCTTTTGAAGTCGGCGGGTTTGTAGGCAAAGGCCGCGCTTCGGCGGCCTCCAGCTGGGCATTGTCAGGCTTGTGAGGACATCCCCAAGGAGCCGGCCTTCATGGCAAGGCCGCAGCCTTCTCGAGAGCGGGTTGGTTTGGAAGCGGGCCTCCGACAAGGCATAGCTATCAGCATGTAGGTGAGCGTTTGACTCCAGATGTCTCAGCCGGGATTGTTTGCTTTGTCAGGTGCTGGGACGAAGGCAAGGACGACCTCATCCCTCGCCTGCAGGACACCCATACGCCTCCCCTCCCCGGATGCGCGTGCTTGGCGTGTGGCATACGGCAGGCGGTGGGCATTGTGTCCCTCAACAAAGCAGGGCCGAAGCCTTACTGCCGCTGGCATGCCAAAGAAGGCATTCAGACCATGTCGTGAGGGCCCAGACAGGCGACAGGTAGATGGCTAGCCAGCGGTGGATCTCTTGCAATTTATACGGTGATGGGCCGAGATTCAACTACGTGCCAAAGTGCACGAACCTGTGCGGTTTCAGGTCAAACAGCAGTGAGGACAACGGAGGCGGCTGCTCGAAGACAGTTCTTTCTGCACAGAGTGGCGATGAATGAGTCCTATTCGTGCTCGCGGGCCTTGCTACGCCACACGAATCAACGCCAGGACATGGTCAGCCGGTCCTTGAGTTTGGGCAGAGCTTGGATGCCAGCTGCCAAGATGCTTGTGTAATGTGGGGAACACCGGAATTTACAAAATCTGAGAGCCTGGCAGAACATGGGTTCAGACATTCATTTATCCGCTGACAGGGAATCATGCTGGAGGGTTTCCGGCAGGAACAATAAGTGAGAGCGCTTCCGGCGGGATGAAGTGACCACAGCTTTGATGTTATGTTCACCTTGGGAATGTGTTATATGGAACCCAAAGGCTTAGTGTCCTTGAGGTGTTTGTTCGAAGTCGCCCCGAACGCCAAGAGCTCGAGGTCGACATATTTCCACAAAATGGTTGGCTCAAGCCTGCGAGCAGCGAGCCGCGGTCAGCCAAGTTCAGTGCGCACCCCGAGGTAGAAGACGTGGCAAACGCCTTGAATGGCATGGAGGATGAGCTTGCGAACGAGGTGCGAGTCGCATGGTGACTGTGGCTCCAAAGGGCATGGGCCACAAATGATGTTTGAACAACAGTGACATCACATACGCCAACACACCAAGAAACGCGGCCAGAACATCTTCAGACCCCGAAGCAGGCGGTTGCTAAGCATGTCCATGTCCATTTTCTTGCAGATCTGTCAACCGGATGGACCTATGGATGAAGCGTTCACGAAGCTAGATGGGCAGATCGGCCGATCGCCGCGCAGTTGCTGGCTTTCGTGGAGCCGGGGCCAGTGACTTTGAACTGAGATGCCGCGCCTCGGGACTTTGGGAAGTTCAACGTCTCTCTTTCGGATGTGCCAAGAAGCCAAGAAGTGGCCTTGTGATGTGGTCTTCTTGTGTTTTGCAGTGTGTTTTTTTGTGTTTTTGTGTTTCCTGTTTTTTTCCGGCCTGTTGTTTTTTGTCTCGTGCTTTGCACAAAGCACGGACGGGGGATGGGGGATGGGGTTAGACATCCAAGATGGAGCTTTGGATGCCGGGGCTTGGTCAGCGACTGTGGGGTTTCACATTGGCTGCATTCGTGCTGGGAGGGCAAGCACGGACAAAAAGGCGGCCCTTGTCCGCTGGCACTGGTCCGAAAATCACGCCGCGCTATGGGACATCAGGCATGTGCATCTCTTTGCGAGCTTGGCTCGACTTGCCAATGATTTGCATCAACATGAGCACTCCAAGCCACTCACCTCGGAGCTCCAGCTTTTTGCTTTTTGTCAGTTCCAGTCCTTCCCGTTCCCATGGCAGTGGCCATTATCGGCCTATGCCCCCAGCGGGTCTCGGTATCCGTTGAAAAGCCCAGCCTAGGCCGGAGAGGGGCATGCCAAATGGAGGGTGTGAAGGCCCAAATTGGCATGAATTTTAAGTAGGGACCCTCTGGAGGACATCAGAATTTGATGTGGATTCATGTCCACAAACCACTTTTGAGATGATTCCCTATTGAAATTCATAGCCGACTAACTACAGGGATTACTTCCATGTCGTGCCTGGGAAGGAGGTGTCCATTGGGGGAAGGGTTTTGAAGATGTTGCTTGAACGAAGGCCGCTTGAACCGCTTTGGCCTCCACCGGTTTTTCCCAAAATTCGGGTAAGAACGGTTCAAGCGGTTGGCCTCCTGTCGTCTTTGCAAGAATGAAGCGTGAAATGGTGTTGAACAGTTGGCCCAACCCTCCTCAATCAAGATATTGGTTTAACCAACAGAATAGCGAACAGAATATGAATACCGTATAACATAGTTTTGTGGGAGGCTTATTCAATCTGATTAATGTGTATATATATATATATGTATATGCATATATATATATACACACGCACGTGTTTGCAGGCAGCTGAAGGCAATGTGTTTTGCTCTGGACCTATTAGCATCACGGTTGTCCGTTGCCTCCAGACATGACAAAACTCAACCCTGCATTCAATGGCATTTGTGGTGCTCAAGCTGAATTCAACTGAAAGTGATCACCTCCCTCTCGGAGCAAGTCTGAGTCCGAGGGATGAACCCACCCCGCCTGTACTGTGCACTCACTTCTCCTTCGCGCTAGGGTCCTACTTCCTGCTTGAAAAAGAACAGGCTGACGAAATCGAGAGCCTGGGCGCCCCTTGTGACCATGGTCCAAAACGGTTTGGGACGGCACAAAGTGTCACCGTCCCAAAAGCGGCCCGCTATGTTGGAGGAGGTGAGGTCAGAGGCTGAGGTCCCAGACTCCAGGGGCTGTGCTGGCGCTGGCGCTGCAGAAGGCATGGCGCAGCGGCTCTGCCGGCTTTTTGGCCGGCACCCTGCAGGCCATCCGATTTTTGTACGGCGGCTCCAAAAGGGGAGACCATTGGCTCAACCTTGAGATCAGAACCCGTCCCATTCCGCTTGGGATGTCTTGAGGGTACCCTGTCTGCACTAAGGGAAAATTGGGTAGCCAAAATGGCGCCAAATGGACCATGGAAGCAAACACGAACACCTGAACATAGGCCTAGCGCTTTGATTTGGAGCCACACCCATGTCACACTGAAGCTGCAAAGATCGCTGTATCGATGAGGTGCACACTAAGCCTCAGGCTTTTGGAACTATGGTTGGAATTCAGGGATGGACGGCTCGATGAAAGCGGAGGGCAAAATCTTCAAGGCTCTGGGCAAAATCTTCGGGTTGCCTTGAGCCTGTGGCAGAGCTGGGTACCTTGGATTCGCCAGTTGGAGAAGTGAAGAGCAAAGCCCTTTGTAGGTGCTGGCGTTCATGTGGCTGCGCACCGCCATGAACTATCAGTGCCCTCAGCGCTCGCGGTGAGCCGAGAGAGTTGGATCTGAGATGGCGAGGTACAAGTTTGGCGGAACCCTGCGCGAGGTGTTGCGGAAGCTCTACGCTGAAGGAGGCAAGCCCAAAAACCCGAGAGACATGGCTGTGGCTCAGAAAAATGGAGACCAAAATGGCACCAAACGGAACCAAAGACTAGAACCTGCGTAACCCATGCTGTTTAATTTTGAGCCACGCCCACCTGTCTACGCACAGTTTCCACGGGCATGTCGGAGTTCAACATTTTGAGGAAGCTCCCGCAGCGGTGCTTGACATGCCCCAGGTTCTGCCAGTGTTGCATGAGCTTTCCACAAAGCTTTTCCTGAACCATTCATGCTGGAGCATGATACTGACACAGCAACATCGGGAAGCAATTTTTCACCCCTGTGTTTGTGTGCGTGTGTGTCTCTCTTCGTTGTGGATTCCAAGGGTAGTAGACAATCGAAAGATGCAGAGAGAGGTTCTGGGTTCTCACTTCCACCAGGCAAGCCATTTCCGGGCCCTCAAGACGCAAGCTGAAAGTCACCTTTGAGATCGGTGAGCAGTTGGCCAATGCCAATCCATGTAACCTTTTGCCAGAGCTGCATATAGCGTCAGCATAGATTCAAGTACTCAGGCACGCATTTCAAGAAGCGCCTCGATTGGCAACCAGCCTCGTCAAACAGCCGGATTCCTGACCACACGTTTTGCTTCAAAAGCGAGGGATACGGCCCACAAATCTGCGGAACTCATAGGAATCTTCGCTGAAATTAGGCTCGACTGTTCGCTTCATACCGGCTGGGTGTTAAAAGATCAAGACCTTCAGCTCCTTTTTTGTGCGTCGCGCCTTAGGTGAGTCCTTTTCCTGTGGATTTTGTAGGGTGGTGTTTGTCCATGTCAGGAAGGAGCGTGATTCCTCTGTAGGACTCCTACGGCTGTACCAGGGTCTTTTCCCCTGGGCGATCTTCCAAGCGCCGCTGTCCCGGTTCGGGGACGTGGCGGCCAACGACCTGGCGCTGGTGCTGGTGGGGCACCTCTTCCCGCAGGCATTCGGAATGCGCGCTGAGCGAATGGGCGGAATGGGGAAGGCAGAAGCTGGTGGGGTCGGAGTTTTAGGGGGAAATGGCCATGGGGCATACCCTATGGCTCCATTTTGTGGATGGATGAACATCCACTCTTGCCACCTGTTTTGAGGTTCACCAGTGGTGGTTTTGACCCACAGCCAAATGTCGGGTATGGCGGTCATGCAGGAACTGATGGCTGATACATGTCGAGTGCCTGTTGCAGAAGGGATTCAGTACTTCTTGTGACTTCGGTTGTAATCAGTCAGCGAATCGACCAGTTGATGGCCAGTGCATGATTCTGTAAGGTGGTCAACGAACACTTTTTCAGCATTGCTGCATAGCACTAAGGCTAAGGTCCAAATGAAATCTGGCAGAGGCTGTCGTTCTTCCCAACTTCTGAAAGTTTAGGAGGCAAGTAGCCGGCGATTTGCTGGCTTGGGTCTGGGTCGTTGAGGGGTTTTGAGATGGATTGCACCGGAGCCCTGGGCTTGCCTTTTAATTGCTTTGGGCCTAATCTTGTGTCAGTGTCAGTTGCACGGCGCCGGCGACCGATGGCAGATTGCAGGTGCCGGTTTCCCTTGCCACCTTCCTGGGGTCGCTGTCCTCTGCAGCCTGGCGGATCGTCATCACCCCAGTTGACACCTGCAAGACGATCCTTCAGACTGACGGGAGCAAAGGCACCCGGTGTGCGTCATGGCCACCCAAACGCCTCCTTGCGTCACTCAAAACTTACTTGAATGTAGCAGCCTACATGAAATGAGGTAACACTTTCTGAGTTGGAAAACCCTCCTCGAACTGCCTCTGGACAAGCCTCGAGCCCGACTCGAGGCATATGTCTTCCTGTGCAGGCTTTGCCATTCTGAAGGACAAGATCTCCAAAGGCGGCTTCTCAGTGCTCTGGAGCGGCTGGGAAGGCAACTACGTGGCCAATGTGATTGGCAACTACCCCTGGTTTGCCACCATGAACATGCTGCAGAAGTCAGCCACTTTGTTTGCAGCTTCAAGGAGCCGCTTCAAGCCAGGTTTGGGAGGATTGCTCCCGTCTTTTGGCCCAGGTCCCCATTCCTCCGGGAAACTTCATGAAGTTGGTGAGGAGTGCCTTCATTGGAGCCATTGCCTCCTCAGTGAGTGATGTGGTGACCTGGCAATGAAGTGGAACTTGTGGACTGCTCCAAATGAGCCATCAAAACCCGGAACGGTTCTGTGATTACGACCATTTTAATACCGGGCTTTCATTATGACTCAAATGTCAAGCAGATGGTTCGCCGAACAGAACTTGTTGAATTCTCGTGCTCTCGTGAGGGCAGAGGCAATCGTTAATTAGGATGTTGCTGTCTTCAGGCCAATCCCAAAGAGTGAAGGGGCAAAAGTTTCCAAGATGGAAACCCGGGTACTGGGAATTCTTACATAGAGTATCATAGTGTATGGTATGTGATATTCGTTTGGGTTCTTGAGGTAGCCAATTCCATCCGGGTCATCAAGACAAAGAAGCAGACCAGCAGTGAGAACTGCAGCTACGTCTCTGCCGCTCAACAGATTATCGACACGGACAGATGATCTTGTGATTTGCCGTTCCTGCGAGTGGCTATTTTTTTCTTGGTTCACTGGAACGCTCCCGCAGGATGGCGTGTCCGGCATCTTCTTCCGCGGTCTGAGCACCCGAGTGTTTACAAACATCCTGCAGAGTGCTTTCTTTACGGTGCTCTGGAAGTACCTGTCATCCAGGTAGTTCGACCGCTTCAGCTTGCATGTGCCAATTGCTTCAGCCCAGAAAAGCGCACGAACGAGCCATTGGATTGGAGCGTGTGATGGAAATGCGGCAAAATCAGCACGCGCTGCGAGTGCATGCGTCACGCTGCCCTTCCTCCCTTGGTTGCTTCTCCTATTCCGTGTCTTTCCAGCCATCTCTTCTCACCAATTTCGCGAAACGCGACGCATCGGATCCGACGGGCATCGTGCTGCTTGCGTGTGCATGTTTTGTTTGCAGATCGATGACATAAGTATGAATATACAACATCATATATGTACATCATACATGTTGAGTTTTGTTGTTTTACGTGTGTCCCGAGTCATGATCAAATCATCCTGATCTTCTTGGTTGAGTGCAAGCCTCGCGTTTATCCACCGCAGTCCAGTTTTCCCCTTTAGATACAAAGCTGACGTAGCTTTTGCAAGCCTATCATGTGAGACCTGGCTGCAAAGATGAATGAATGGTTGATGAACCTATCAATCCTTTCGGTTGGGCCGCACTTGTCACGAAGGCCGTATGTGCGAATGTCAAGAATGCGGGAAGACAACGTGGACAGGCCGGCAGCCCAGCCGTATTGTCCTGCAAAGTGTCCAGTTTCCTGGTCACACAATTGTTGAATACTGTTGAAGGTCATTGCATGCCCGGATATTTTCTCAACAGAAGCCAACCACAAGACAGGAATTGGCAACCTGCAACGCGTCAACATGCAGTGTTGCGACGATGTTTCCGCAGGTTTCTGTGAGGTTCATTTGAGTCTCTTCACCCGGTCTGTGGTTGAGGCCCGTGGCCCATTCGGCTGAGGCTGAGGGCTGCACATCAACGCCGCACTGAAGGGGGTGCCGCTGTCGGAGCGGTGCGGGGGCTGGAAGACCGGGCAGTGCGACCAGGCGAGCTGATGGAACCCCGCGACACGCTCATTGCATCGGTCAAAGTCAAACCTATGGGAGTTCCCAATGTGCCTTTAAGAGTGGCAAGTGTGAGCGTTGTCTCACGTACTGTATTTCGCTGCACTTTGATCTTATTTTTGGGCAACACACACGCAGCCATGGTCTCTGCGCAGTGTTCGTTTTGGGCTAGCTTCTTGCTCTTCTGCGCAAGTTGACTACTTTGCCCAAGTGGAACACCGCTCTGTGAACTGATCTTGCAGTTCCTAGACACCCAACTCATCAGGTAGGACCTGAAGAGCTCCTTTTTGAACGCTCCGCGTCTCTTGTTCTGCTGCTTGGGAAGGTATGCCTTGAGAGATCCCAAGCTAATAAGACTCAATTTGTCAATGCGTGTGTGTCTGTGTCTTTGTGTCTGTGTTTGCGTTTGTGTCTGGGTCTTTGTGTCTGTGTTTGCGTTTGGCTGAGGGTGCGCGTGTGGGTGGTCTGTGATTGTCTGGGTTTGTAAGTGCTTGTCTGTGTTTGTTTGTCTTTGTCTGTGTTTGTCTGTGTTTGTCTGTGTCTGTGTGTTTGTTTGTGTTTGTCTGTGTTTGTTGTGTTTGTTTGTCTTGGTCTGTGTTTGTCTGTGTTTGTCTACGTTTGTCTGTGTTTATTTGTCTTTGTCTGTCTTTGACTGTCTTTGTCTGTGTTTGTATGTGCTGGTTTGTGTCTGTCTGTGTCTGTCTGTGTCTGTTTGTGTCTGTCTGTTTGTCTGTGTCCGTGGTTGTCTGCGTTTGTCTTTGTCCGTCTTTGTCTGTGTTTGTCTGTGTTTGTCTTTGTGTGTCTCGGTGTGACTGTGTGTCTGTGTATGTCTGTGTGTCTGTGTATGTCTGTGTGTTTGCGTGTTTGCGTGTCTCTGTGTCTCTGTGTCTGTGTGTGTGTGTGTGTGTGTGTCTGTGGGCATGTGTGTGTGTGTGTCTGTGTTCATGTGTGTGTGTGTGTGACACATGTGTGTGTGTGTGTGACACATGTGTGTGTGTGTGTGTGACACATTGTGTGTGTGTGACACGTGTGTGTGTGTGTGTGACACATGTGTGTGTGTGTGACACGTGTGTGTGTGTGTGGTGTGGGCGCGTGCGTGCGTGCGTGCGTGCGTGGGTGGGTGGGTGGGTGGGTGAATGGTGTGTATGTGTGTGTGTGTGCGTGCGTGCGTGAGTGCGTGCGTGCGTGCGTTTTTGTGTGTTTGTGTGTGTGTGTGTGAGAATGAGCGCGCGGGCATGCGCACAGGGGCGCGCGGGTGCGTGGGTGTGTGGGTGGGCGGTTTGCTGCGTGGGCACATGTGTGGGCGCATTCGTGTGTGCTTGTGTGGCGGGGGGCGGGAGGGGCGCGGCGGCGCAGCAGTCGCGTGTTGCTCATCATTTGGGGCCACTTGGTCCCGCGACCGGCGGCGCCGCGAGGGGTGTCGCTTTTGCGCTGATGCCGGCCTGAACAGCCAGTTTCAAAAGCCAAGCGCAACTTGTTCCCCTCCCGCCACACACCCGGTGGGTGGCTTGCGTGTGTGTTTGTGTTTGCGCGTTTATGTGTGTGTGTGTGTGCAGGTTTGTGTGTGTTTTTCTTGCGCTTTGTGTAATTGAGGCAAAAACCGCCAATCGCCATCGTCTCTGTTCATCATAATTAACTTTTCCTCTTTGTGGCAGCCTCTTGTGGGCAAAGCTGCTGGACCCTTCAAAAACCTTTGGAGTTCTTTGGTCCTCCAATCTGAGTGCCCTTCTTGCTTGTGTTTTGCATTGCCAGGTCCGGCCTGTTGTCCAGGCACAGGTTGAGCGAAATGCTGCCCGGAGCCGAAGTTCGCCCATGTTTGCCGAACGGGTCAGCACCTGGCTGAAGCGTTTTTTCGTGGTCAATATGTCCAGCTCCAAATGTTAAGAGTGGGCAGGGATGGATGGATGTCCAGGCGAAGACTGCATGTTCGCTGTGTTATTGGCAGTGAAGCTAGTGGCCTTGCCTGCAAAGCAAGATGACCTGAGCACTGTAAGTGTCTTCACCAAAATCGTCTCGCAATCCAAGAACCCATGGCTCCGTGCCATCGAGGGGGAGATAGCAATCGCCACTTGAGCGGCTTTGTTTTTTAGGATGAGGGCCCGCATCTTCGCGGCGACATCTGTTGCATGTCGCGCAGGCGTTTGACTGACAGGGCCACAACCGCGTAGGCGTGCGTGGGGTTTTTGCGGAGGATCGAGTTGCGAAGTTCGCGTAGGCGGCCGCGCAGGCGGCCGTTTATGAGCTTGAACTTGACATGGGTAAGGGTCAAAATTAAACCATCAGGGGACCACAGGTTTTAGTCATTGTTTCCGTTTACCAGGGTGCCATTTTGGGTACCTATTTTTGACCCACAGCCACATGTTGAGCATTGTCGTTATGCAAGACACTGTTGTCTGACCGTTTGTGAATGGCAGTTTGGTGCAAGCTGGCGGTTGCGGGCGGAGGGAGGAGAAGGTCCGCTCGTCCGGCAGCGCACCTCGCCACTCGTCGCGGCTGCTAGCAGACCCGTTGTGCTGGTAGACCTGTTGTGCTAATAGGTAACAGCATATCCCGAAACTCAAAAAAGACAAGCGGGTTTCGCGTAGGCTCCGCGCAGGCTTCGCGTACGCATTGCGTCCAAAAGTTGACCAGAGGCCCTTCGTGGCACACCTCCGTTTCACCCCGTCCCTCCAGTATGGTCGCCACGGAGGATTGACTGCCTTAGAGCTCGACTTCTTCGTGACCTTCCACTGTGCTCCCGTCCGAGCGCGATCGCAAAGAGCCTCTCCGTAGCCGAGTGTAAAAAACGCGTTGAGCTCGTTCTCGCGTAGGCGGCGTAGGCAGGTATCTAGTCAGCTCGGTCTCTCGTAGGCGTTTTGGTGGAACTGTTGCGTTGCGGGCAGGCGCTGCGTAGGCGCCGCGTAAGCAAGTAAAAAATGATAAGGACCCACACAACGCAAAACAAACACTGCACACTTGGCCCTGGCCTTACCTTCCCCAGGCACTCGCATCCCGAGTCTGCCTCTGTTTGGCTCGGCCACCAGTTCGGAGCGAGGTCTCAGACACCACTTCGCAGCCGAAGCTCCAGGAGCATGTCGGGCCCTTTCGCCATTCCCCGTGTGTGCTGCATGGCCGGTTTCGAAAAGCACCTGTTGGGTTCATCTTATGAAACTTGAAGTGAGTTTGCTTGTATAACGATCTTTAAAGAGATGTGAGAACCACACGCCTTTTTTGGGGGATTTGCCCATGGAGTTGAAGCTCTGCTTTTTCAGGGGCTGAGATCATCGGAGCAGAACGGCAAACCCAGGATCCCGCAGGTTGCAAAAGTTGCTGAGACACCCGAAAACTGAAATGATTTGAGCAGCGTTTGGAGGAGCTTCGGTACTGGACTGGGCATTTACGTTGAGCTCTGATCCATCCCAGTTTTGCCCATTTGTCGACTTCCCGGACCCCCACACACCATGGCATTTAGTGAACTACCGTTCATGTGCTTCTTGGTTACACAGTGAAGCATTCCAAGAACCAGCGGTCTAGGAAACTTCGAGAGCCACGTCATCCTATCAAGCAGCTCACTCTAGGAGCCCACCCCAGAACCAGAGAGGCGGGCAGTCAGCTGTGTCGCGTGGAGAACTGATGAGGCAGTCATACCACAACATGAGACCATTGGGAGTCGTTTGAAAAGCATCGGACACGTGCTGCGCTCATGGGGTCATTTTAATGCTTGGCTGAGTGTGTGTAAAGCATTTGTGTGAAGGGTCTACCAGATAAGCTTCGCCACTGCCATTGCATGTTGCTACGCGGCCCACAAATGCAAGTAAGACCAACTTTGCAAAGCCCGGGCAAAGCTTCCAAAAGCACGATGAAGCGGCTGGAGCGCAGGGAGTCAAGCCAGCAAGTCTCCCAACCGGACAACAGGTTATTAGCCACTGCTCCAATAGCTTTGGCGCTTATCACAAGGCAAGCTGGAGCAGTACATGCTCGAAACGTGATTTCCGCGAGTTGTCGGAAGGGAATATGAGGCCGGCGACAAGACTGCGGAAAGGGGCCGGCGATTTGGTGAATGGGAGCCTGAGAAAGACACCATGACATGTAGCAGTAGAGAGGCAACTTGCAGAACAAGGTTGGGCTTTTTGCTCGGGATGCAGCCGGCTGCTTTGCTAGGGAGCAGATGCAGCCTGCAAAGCGAACTGCCGCCGCGCAGCACTTGGACACTCAGTGTTTCTGAGATGTGGCCATGGGTCAAAATCCCTTACCCCCAGTGAACATCCCAATCCCCACCAAAATAGACTAAGATTGGTGGTGCACCTACCCCAAAATGGTACCATTGGTTTTGACCCACAGCCATGTGTCCGAAACATTTGGAAGAGGCGGCGGCATGCTGCGATCAACAAAAATGTGTTTCATTTGTTGACGAAGGCGCTCCTGTATTACTGGCTTCCTGGATCGTGCTGTTTCGCACGTGTCGACCACTAGGTAGTCAGAACAGATATTTTCCATGCACCAAGTACCCCTTGCCTGTCTGTAAGCAGGCGAATGATTCAGCATCAGGCTGACAGGTCAGCGCAGAAGGCCACTACCAAATTCGCTTTTTGACCTGACAAGAAGGGCTTGCCAGTAGTTTGATTAGTGATTCAACCATGAACTGGAATTAGAAACATTATGAAACATTGGCCCTCCACATGCGGAAGTACTTTGGCTTCTGAAGTCATGCCCTCCAGTCCGAGGCCGGCAACACTGGCCTGGTGCTTTTGGGTGCTTCTTGCATCCTACTGCTTTGTATGTTGCGGTTTCGATAGGCCACTTGCTGGCGCTTAGCTCCCATATTCGCACGCTGCTGCCTTGCGAATGAAGGGGGCACCCTTCGGGCTTCTCCTTATTCAGAGTGGTCGCCTTTAGGCACCTACGGCTTCCCATTGGACGTAGACGCAGGATGTGGGTATGGGTCAAAATTAAAGCACCAGGATATGGACCGCAGGTTTTAGTCCATGTTTCCATTTATCAGGGCTCCATTTTGGTGACCTATTTTTGACCCGCAGCCATGTAGACTGTGGTGCCCCCTGAGAGCAAGGGCAGCAAGGACAGTGCCAATCATGTTTAATGACTCATGCCGAAGGCAAAGTTAACACAGGTGCATGAGCAAGCCTCATGCAAATCGTTTCACAGGATTACATTCTTGTCCAGAGGCACGTACGGTGAGTTTGTCCAAAGCCGGGAGAGAGGAAGATGGGATTTCGAAAGAGCCGAGCTGGACATGCTGCGGGCTTGGGTCAGCAGGACATGCGTTTAGGTTCAGAGCTGCGCGAAATGGAACTTGGCTCAAGCATAGGTCTTTTGCGACCTGAACGGAGCCGGATCTGGGTGCCGTCAAAGACGGAAACCCGTGAAGGCGTGCGGTTGTTTGTAGCCAGATACTCATTTTAGACAAGCCAGGCTGCGAACAGCAACATCTAATCATTATCGTGCATGAAGATATATACACAGCTCTGTATGAGAAGAACATGTGTGACTGTAACTGTTTGGCATCCAGAACATCAATCGACTGCCAAACTGATTCACCATCAAGCAGTCCAAATCTAAGCGAACACGTCATACATGTCATGGAGCATTTCTAGTGTTCTTGGCTTTTGACCGGGGCTTCGGATGTGCCACGCCGCGTTTGCGGAAAGATGCTGGGGCCTTCAGTGCAACATCAATGGCTGAGTAAGAGCAATCTGCGTGTGAAACAAAAATTTGGCAAACGCTCACTTGCGTGCTTGTTCTTCTTTTCTTACCAGGAATGTTCATAATTGAGCAGCTCTTTTTTTCATGGCTTTTCATGGGAGGTTTATAGAGTCGCCCCAGTTGGAATTCCAGACCTCCCCCGTATTCAACCGCATTGAACCCACGCATTGGGATCTCCCAGGCCCAAGCTCGCGGAGTCCCAGTCGGCACCGCTGCTGCGGCCGGACTCCCTGCCACGGCTCCACAGCCGTGGCCCGAGGGGATCGAGCCAGAAACTCACCGGTGCCGTGGTCGTGTACCGCCTCGACTGGGTGGAAAACGGACAAAAAAACGCCTTAGACATGTGTTACTTGCCGAAAAACGGTCCATATTTGAAGGGACATTTAAGATTTAGGCCGATACAAGGGGTCACGGGGTCGTCTGTGCATTCAATCCTGGTGTCGTCTGTGCATTCAATCCTGGGGTCGTTTGTGCATTCATTGTTTTTTGGGCTCACAGGCATGATAATGGACTCGATGTGTGGTCACATGTGTCGTGATAAGTGTGCATGCTTCTTGGAACGTGTTCTTTGTCGGCGGTTAGCCAGAGGTCCACCCAATGTTCAAATGTCGTTTTGAGGAGAAACAACCCAAAAGCCTAAAACCTACAGTAACCTAAAACCTAAAGTGATGCAAGCCAAGACCCCTAAGCCCAGCCTACAGTGATACGAGCCTAAGCCCAAATCCAGAAAGCCAAACTAAAACCTACAGTGATACGAGCCAAGACCAAAAGCCTAAATCCTAAAGCCAAACCCAAAAGCCTAAAACCTACAGTAACCTAAAACCTAGAGTGATGTAGCCAAACCCAAGAGCCTAAACCCTAAGCCCAAATCCAGAACCCTAAGACCTACAGTGATACGAGCCAAGGCCAAAAGCCTAAATCCTAAAGCCAAACCCAAAAGCCTAAAACCTACAGTAACCTAAAACCTAAAGTGATGCAAGCCAAACCCAAGAGCCTAAACCCTAAGCCCAAATCCAGAACCCTAAAACCTACAGTGATACGAGCCAAGACCAAAAGCCTAAATCCTAAAGCCAAACCCAAAAGCCTAAAACCCAAAACCCAAAACCTAGAGTGATGTGAGCCAAACCCAAAAGCCTAAACCTTAAACCCAAACCCAGAACCCTAAAACGTACAGTAACCTAAAACCTAAAGTGATGCAAGCCAAACCCAAGAGCCTAAACCCTAAGCCCAAATCCACAACCCTAAAGCCTACAGTAACCTAAAACCTAAAGTGATGCGAGCCAAGCCCAAAAGCCTAAATCCTAAAACCAAACCCAAAAGCCTAAACCCTACAGTAACCTAAAACCTAAAGTGATGCGAGCCAAGCCCAAAAGCCTAAATCCTAAAGCCAAACCCAAAAGCCTAAACCCAAAACCCAAAACCTAGAGTGATGTGAGCCAAACCCAAAAGCCTAAACCTTAAAACCAAACCCAGAACCCTAAAACGTACGGTAACCTAAAACCTAAAGTGATGCAAGCCAAACCCAAGAGCCTAAACCCTAAACCCAAATCCACAACCCTAAAGCCTACAGTAACCTAAAACCTAAAGTGATGCGAGCCAAGCCCAAGAGCCTAAATCCTAAAACCAAACCCAAAAGCCTAAACCCTACAGTAACCTAAAACCTAAAGTGATGCGAGCCAAGCCCAAAAGCCTAAATCCTAAAGCCAAACCCAAAAGCCTAAACCCAAAACCCAAAACCTACAGTGATACGAGCCAAGACCAAAAGCCTAAATCCTAAAGCCAAACCCAAAAGCCTAAAACCTACAGTAACCTAAAACCTAGAGTGATGTGAGCCAAACCCAAAAGCCTAAACCTTAAACCCAAACCCAGAACCCTAAAACGTACAGTAACCTAAAACCTAAAGTGATGCAAGCCAAACCCAAGAGCCTAAACCCTAAGCCCAAATCCACAACCCTAAAGCCTACAGTAACCTAAAACCTAAAGTGATGCGAGCCAAGCCCAAAAGCCTAAATCCTAAAACCAAACCCAAAAGCCTAAACCCTACAGTAACCTAAAACCTAAAGTGATGCGAGCCAAGCCCAAAAGCCTAAATCCTAAAGCCAAACCCAAAAGCCTAAACCCAAAACCCAAAACCTAGAGTGATGTGAGCCAAACCCAAAAGCCTAAACCTTAGAACCCTAAAACGTAAACCTAAAACCTAAAGTGATGCAAGCCAAACCCAAGAGCCTAAACCCTAAACCCAAATCCACAACCCTAAAGCCTACAGTAACCTAAAACCTCAAGTGATGCGAGCCAAGCCCAAGAGCCTAAATCCTAAAACCAAACCCAAAAGCCTAAACCCTACAGTAACCTAAAACCTAAAGTGATGCGAGCCAAGCCCAAAAGCCTAAATCCTAAAGCCAAACCCAAAAGCCTAAACCCAAAACCCAAAACCTAGAGTGATGTGAGCCAAACCCAAAAGCCTAAACCTTAAACCCAAACCCAGAACCCTGAAACGTACAGTAACCTAAAACCTAAAGTCATGCAAGCCAAACCCAAGAGCCTAAACCCTAAGCCCAAATCCACAACCCTAAAGCCTACAGTAACCTAAAACCTAAAGTGATGCGAGCCAAGCCCAAAAGCCTAAATCCTAAAGCCAAACCCAAAAGCCTAACCCCTACAGTAACCTAAAACCTAAAGTGATGCGAGCCAAGCCCAAAAGGCTAAATCCTAAAGCCAAACCCAAAAGCCTAAACCCCAAACCCAAAAGCCTAAAGTGATGTAAGCCAACCCCAAACCCAAACCCCAGCCCCCAAACCCTCTGCTGTGGTGGGCACTTCCGGGATTGAATGCGCGAATGACTCCAAGATTGCGTGCGCAGATGACCCTGCGGGATTGAATGCGCGAATGACTCCAAGATTGAATGCGCGGATGACCCCACCATCGATACAAGGAGCCCGTCTACTCAGGAAGCAGAAGTTTGATGGGGGACGTCCTCGAACTGGCTGGTGGGCATGTCATGCCCACATAAATGATGTTCGCCAAAAGGTGGCCAATGTCACTTCTAATATTCCTCCTTTGATTGACTTACATCATTGTTTTACTAACATAAAGTGAGTTTCCTTTCAACAGTGTGTTTACAAGAGCCATGCCTGTGTTGCCTCCATCGCCTGCGGAGCACTCTACCAAAAAATCAGAGGAAAGCCTCTCCTTTCATGAAAGGATGAGCTATAGTCCGAGTATTACTCACCATGGTAGTTGAGACGAGGGTGACCACTCCGGGCGGTGGGGCATACTAGGCAAAACCGCTTGAATGAGCATACTAGGCAAATGATAATGCTACTCACATGATGCTACCATGGCCCTCAAATTCTCTCCATCGTGCTATCGTCAGGGTTGTAGTTCACACATTGTCTCAGCCACAAAAAGAGGACTGAAATAGCTAGCTAGACACTACTGTTGAAGCGGCAGACTTCACGGTTTTTGGCTCCATGCTGTAGTCCCCCTATGCCTTTTGAAAACTTTGGCAGCCATACATGTGTCAACCCTGGCTTGAAACGAGTGAAGAGCTTCCACAATGGCTACAGATGGCATGAATGAGCTGTTCGAAACATTGGTTGTTCGCACGGGATCAAGTGACAGCCTTTCGCGATCTTGTGTGACATTCGGCAATGGCTGCCAAGGCTCAACATTCCCCTTGAACATTGCTGGCCTTGATCGTGCCTTGTCCCGTCATCCCCGCATCAATTTGAGGTAAGCTCGAGACACGATGCATGTCATTGGGCGGAGTCCATAGTTCTACGGGTACCTTCCCAATTCTTTCCAGGAATCCTTCTTTTCAGGAAAGCATCCAAAACCCAGGGGAAACAGCCGGTTTATTGAAAGGAACGATAGTTGAAAAGAATGGACAAGGAATCAACCCCTAAAATAGTTCATGCACCAGCTTGCTGGCGCAAATTTCCGCGGATGCTCAGGTTGTGAACTCCAGGGCAGTGAGCGAGTGGGGAAGGCCGAAGAGTACATGTACTTGCAAGTGTCAGCCTTAGACTGTGGTGTTTTGCCAGCTCCCGGTTTAGCCATGCTTAAACTACGGATGGGCAAACAGCCCCCCTTTTTGTGGTTTCACTTTGATGGGGAGCGTCGTCTGGTTGCCGAAACACATTTGGCCCTGCCTGGAGCCTTGGGGCAGTTGCAGGCGTTGAACTCCCAATTGAGTCAACGAGCTGAGGTCAAGCGCTGTCATTGGCCACAACTAAGCCCAGATTGACGCTCGTCCTGAAAGGAGCAACTTGGAGTCGCAGGATGTGCCATGCAAACCAAGGCAAACTGTGGACTTTGCGAGACTTCGCGCTTCAGCACTCCAATTGGGACTCCTTCACCGACAAGGGCAAGCTGCGGGCAAGCTGGCAGCACATTGTCTCCTTAGGCCTTGCAACAGGCAAAGCCCAAGCCCCAACTTTTTGAACCCTGCCTTATAGATTTCATGTGTAAATCAAGCTGTCCATGTTTGCTTTCATTTTGTTGCGATAAGACTCGGAGGTGCCCACTCAGGGTTGTTGGGGAGCGCCTCCAGCCTGTTCCTTCGAGAGGCAGATTGCCAGTCATGTTCAGGTCATCTATGAGCTTGGATCACTCCTTTGTGAGTCTGGTGACAAGCTCAAGGAGGCAGTGCCGTGATGTCTTCGTGTAGTGATCTGCCCAATGAAAATGTGGACTCTTCTGGAAAAGATTGGCTTGCCCCTTCTGGCCAGACAAGTGAGACTTGCTGCCTCATGCTTCACAAGTTGCCAATGTTTGATTTTTTTTTTATCCTGGCAGGATGCGATGCTTAAGGCACGCAACGATCTGCAGCTTGCGGTTACAGAGGCCTGGAAAAAGGCGGAGTTATATGTGAGCAGGGTTGAGATCACTCCAAGTTTATCCAACCACGTTTGTGATACTGTTGGGAATCTCCACTGGGGGAGTTAGTCTTTGGGAAGCCTTTTTTGTTGTATCACAGAAGGGATTATTTCCCACAGCCCTGCATGGGAGTGCGTTTTCTTGTTGAGGATACCCTATTCGGGCTTGGTTTAAAGTGAAAGCAAAAGGAGAACCGAAGCCATTTTGGGGGTTCGTCCTAAAGCAAGACACACCCATGTAGAGGGATGGAATGGACAACGTGCTGACCACAAGGAAGCGGAGGTTGCACGCCCCGCATGTTGATGTGAGTGCAAGGTCTATTACCAGGACCTCGCCTTAGCTTGAAACAACCCTAGGAGCAACCTTGAGTGTCAAGCGAGTACACTAAATCTCCCATTACCTGCATAAGTTGTTCTTCATTCATCAGGAGCCATCATCTACGAGTCATGATTTGCCATTGCTGTGGGAACACTACTGGCATCCGAAACAATTAGGAAGACTTGCTCATGTGCCTGAAGAAGTGTTATACAGAAGAAGTCAAAGGGTTGCCAAGCGGCAAGGCTAGGAAGCCCAAACCATGTGAGGCGTGTTGGCATGGTGCCATCAGTGCCTGGTGCCTTGTGGGAATGTTCAAAGATAATATCCTGTTACTTGGACAAGTTCATGTAGTGCCGTGATCAAAACATAAGAAAGTGCGCTTCAATCACCCTTGGAAAGTGGTCTTCCTGAATCCTGACTGAACTGTGGGTCCGAGGCAAAAAGGTTGCTAGGCTCTGGCAATCGACGCAGTTTTTCCTTCGCGCCGCGAGGCTCGGCAGCTTCCCCGCGTGGTGCGTCCTTTGCTTGATGGGGCAGGACTCGATGCGGCCAATTTCAGCCATGTCCAACTCACAGGGACTTCCATGTTAGGTAGGGCTATGTTCAATGCTCAGCATCACTCACTTCAGACAACCGTTGTTTCCACCTTTACAGGAAGGGATCGATAGTTCTCCGTGACGTCTGATCTTCCAAGGTGGGGGGTGGGGGTTGCCTTGTTCTGGTGAGGGGTGGTGGTGCAAGGGGGGAATAAGCTTGCCTGTCTTACTTTCCGCCTGTGAAACTTAGAATCAAGGATTGTTTGATCTACACGGGAAACCTGTGATATATGGGTATGGGTCAAAATAAAACCTCCAGGGGACCACAGGTGTTAGTCATTGTGTCCATTTTACGGGGTGCCATTTTGGGTACGTCTTTTTGACCCACAGGCATATGATGCCCGTGTAAAGCGAAGCTGAGAATGCTCACCGCACACCTCGATTTGGTCATTTGGTCCTCCTGCCCAAGCTGACGTGTATCCAACCAATGTTAGAGTTTGCGCTTGGCTGCTGGTTCTATGCATGTGGTCATCCAACCATCCACACAATCATTCACGGGCTCCGATTCTCCATTCAATTGCTTGATCCTATGGCCATACTGTGGATGAACGAAATCCTGCACCGCAGAAACCCTGGAATGATGCGATTCCCTGTAAATACCCACAAACCTTGTGGTGTCATTCCCATGGGGTCATCTCGTGGTGCGGTCTCGGATTCGCAACCATCCACATGGTGTGTGGCCCAAGCTGAGCGAAGCCAAGGCTCCGACAAGCTTCGAGCTACCGCGGTGGCCGGGCTCTGCGAGGGCTTGAACCTCCCCAGTGCGGCGCGGCGCCTGAAGGAGGCGCGGAAGGGGTTGTGGATGTGGATGGAAGGCCGCTTTTTTGTGAAAGGCATCAGGCGCCTTCACAGTTGTTGGCGAGTATGGTTTTTGTTTGCTTGGTTCTGGTCAGAGTTTATTTTTAGTAGGGCGGCCGCAAAAAAGCAGAAGTTTGCTACCATCATTCCAAGGACTTGAGCGGATGTTGACGGTTGAACAGTGAAACACCGGGGCGTCAGACTGGCCATGTAAGTTGACTAGCTTGCGAGATTGACCGACTACCTAAGTACTTAGAACTCTGAGGCGTAAGTTGTGGGCTTCTGGTATTGTGGCTTTGACTGTATTTGCTGGTTCCTAGTTGGATGCATAAGTGGCGGAAAATAGTTTGCCCAGCCATGCGGCCGCAAGAAATCTTATAGTTTGAGTCCACCAATCCACGTCATTCTAGAATCATTTGCTTGTGCAGAAGTTCCGGATCAGCAGCGGCGAGCTGTTGGCTGACTCACTGCCTGTATTCAGAGCAACTCTGAGTCTTGCTTGAAGCTATAAGCGCTCAGTGGTTAGCTCCGATTGTCTTTGGAGAACGGGGGGTGCTTCATTGAGACGTGGATGCCAACCGTTGCGCAACGTCCGAACACTTCTGCGTCACCATCCAAGCCGCTAGTGCCAAACGCGTCGCCATTGACCGGATCTTCTTTTTGGCGGGGGGACCCTGGCTTCATATAATTGGCCCATCTTTTCATTTTCATGGGCTTGTTCAGGGCACCTAGGTTTGACAACCTTGCAGGATGCCATTCCGGGTGCATGTTCAAGGCAACTCAAACAGCACTCTAGGGAAAGGAGTTTTGCCCTGACCATTCAACGTTTGCAGGCCCTTGGCGCGGCCAAGCACGAGGCGCGGGAAGTACTTTGTTGGCAAGCCTTCACGGGAGGTCTCGATCCTGTCGGAGTTGTTTCTTGCGTTTTCTTGAGGCACTTAGGCAGACTGGAGACTGGGCATGGGTCAGGATGACTTGAATTTGGGCCAGGCTCCGGGCAGGCTCGATGCCGGAATCCGAACGCCGCGCCAGGAATTTGAGGTCGGACACATCCAGAACCTCGCGAAGAAGCTTCTCAGCTGCGATCAGCTCCGTGTATACGGATTTCTGCGGGTTTTCGCCGGGGGTTTCGTGAGGGCCGTTCGTGCAGGTTCCGTTTCAGGGGCTACATTGAGAAGATTGAAGACAGGCGAGCTGCTGAGATGGCGTGAGGGAGAGTGGCAAATGGCGCAGGTGTGCAATGCTAAACTGCAAGGTCACTGACCATCGGACAGCTTCGAAAAGTGCTGAAGCCGCTTGGCCAGAAGGGCATTCTGGATCATTCTGGTGTATCGCGCGAGATGAGAACAGGAGCCCTGCAGGGATTCCCTGAGCTCAGGTTCTGCCAAGAAGCTTGCCACCATTGGAGCGAGGGGAGAGAAGAGGCCGGCACTCTGCCCTTGAGCTCAAACTTCGCTGGTCGTAGTCAGGTTTCGACGGATAAAGCGCTCACCATGGATGCCACACGCTGAGATGGAGCCATGCAGCCTTTGAGCATGGTGCGCAGAAGGGCTTTTGTTGGAGGTTCTCCGAATGGCTTCACGGCATGAATCAGATTGGTGAGACCTCCAGGTCCTGAACTTGTACCACATCGATCACTGGCTCATTTGGCCAGCCACGGAGGCTGGTTGCGGCTTGCCAGCGAAGTGATCGCTGTGGGTCCTCAGGCATCTCGAAGTTCCTTTGTGGAACTCCTGGCGGATCAGGCAATGGCTCGCATTCAAGCAGCTTTGCGGCAAATCGGTTTGGCAGGAACAGCGAGCTCAGTGGTGTGTGAGCCACTGTTGGTCTCAGCCGCACCTCAGATGCAGCTCAGACCAACCCCAAGAGGCCCCAATGGTCAGTTCTGTAGTGGCAGGCACGCATCCTTTGTGGAGTGCATCGGCCAGCACGTAAAGACGAGGCCGCAGTTGCGCAAGCTCCAGAACGTCACATTGCACGCAATGTGCAAGAGCACAAGGGTCCAAAAGAGTTCATTGTTTCAGATCATCAAATTCAGCCTGCAAACGGCCGAATTCACATGCGTTTGGATATACCGAAAAACCGCGTGGAAGAGCCTTGCAGAGCCTGGCATGTTGCACTGGTCAGGGGTTTGCATCGAAGAACCAACTTCTGGATCTGGGCCTATGCCCACAGGCAGGGATGTGCCGAACTCTGAGTCCTGGTGGGCATGGTATTTGTTTTTGCGCGCGTGAATACGGAAGTCCATCAAAAACGGATTTGCGTACACGGGTCAAAATGAAATCACAAGGATATGGACCGCAGGTTTTAGTCCATGTGTCCATGTACGTGTCCATGTTGGATACCTATTTTTGACCCACAGCCACATTTGCCTGCAGGGAGCTCCCAGTCCAAACTGAAGCCACGCGTTGAAACTTGGAGGCACTACTGCTCTAGCTTGGAGGCTCCGGAGCATGGACCCGAGCAAAGATCACTGTGAACTCAACTGAGTCACAATAAAAGCGCTGAGTCATGGTTGATGAAGGTTGGGCAGTCCCAGCCGCGCCTTTCTAATTCTTGAAGCATGGTTCTGGGATTACGACCATTTTACTAGTTTAGGACTCAACTGGGAGGCCTTGGCACATGTTCAGCGAAACCGATGACCTGTAGTCAACCAGTTGGCGTCAATGGGTTTGACCCATGCCCCCCACAAGAGCACCAAGCAAGTCAACAAGCAAAGAATAAGGTCGTCAAGGGTGTCATGTTAAGTTGTGGTTGTGTTGTCTGAACAGTGGTGGCAAGGCTAGGGTAGGCTGTACTTGCCCAAGGTCCGGCTTTTACCAGTCCTTAGAAGCAGCAGAGAGTCGGCTCCTGCTGGTTCTGCAGGACCGCCGAAAAGCTGTGTGCCTGCAAACAAACAGATCGAGGTTCATCCATTCAAAGCTTGCCTGCAAGTCATGGGGTTCAAACCACCATTAAAAAGAAGGGTACATAAAACCACCATTGTTTTCCTAAGGATTGTCATCATCCAAATTGGGTCAACCATTTTTAATGAGGATTGAACCCTAGGGTGTAAATCATGGAAGTTTGACGTCATTGAAATCCCTCCGTCCGTGAGCTGGCTCTCGAGGATGTGAATTCGGCTGGCGAGGTCGCCGGATCCATGCCCTTCGACAGACTCTGGTGTATGTTCGAGGCAGATGCCAGCCGGTAACATGAGCAATGAATAAAGTATTGGGGTCAAATGGGCGGCATTTTTTGGGGATGAGGGCCCAAATAATTTACATGTCGCTTAGGCGTTTGGCTGCAGGGCCACCTTTCCGCGTAGGCGTGCGTTTGGAAAAGATGGACCAAAAAATGGTCACCCGCCAATCAGGAATCGATGAATGCTGGCTTGCGCTGGCCAGGTGATGCACTCCCTGGATAGCAGCTCCGGCAAGGGAATGGCCAGAGCTCCCCTGGACGTTGCAGCCACGTCCTCAGAAGACACGACCGAACTTGGCGCATTGAATGCTGAAGGAGGGCCCGGAAAGGTGTAGGCCCGCGCCTTGCCGAGGGCGTAAAGACCAGGTTGCAGTGAGAACATTGCTGGGCAAGGGGACGAGAACAGCCATGCAGCGGGCGGGAAAAGAGGTACGGCTCCAGTGGCTCAAATCGAGAACCCGTTTTGTTTGCCAAGAGCAGCCCATTCCCCACTCCAGCCATTCAAGCAACCTTGTTCGGAGTGTTGGGAGTGCTTGCTTTCAAGGACAGCTCTTGCGCAAGCAGTGGCTTTCTTGCGCATACTCGCAGGGAGTTGCGCAGACTGGCATAGCTCTGCGCCTTGTCCAGGGACTGGCGCAGACCATACTGAGCATGCTCGCGCAAAGCACCTTTGCAGCAGCGCCCAGCCGCTGGTTTTAACCACAACGAGCTTGAGCGCGCACAAAACGGCAGCAGTGTTTTCCCAACGGTGGCTAAGCACAAGGCCTGCAAAGCCGATAGGGGACTACCCCGCAGTGGCTAAGTAGAAAGCTGAAAAACCAGAAATTCCGATGGGGGCCTGCCTAAGTTTGATCTCCATTGCGGGGAACCAGTAATCTCGTCCGCCCGGATCTTTCCAGCAGGTCCTTACTTGAATCCGTGTCGCTAAAAGCACCATTCTCAGAAGTTCCTTGATTCCCCTTTTTGAGGAACCTCCAAAAGTGGCAGCTTCAATGGAAGCCACCAGTAAAGCAACCAACTGTTCAAGTGGATATCCAGTGACCCCGATTTCTTGAAACAGCCAAAGAGAGAACTCGCAGTCAGGGATCGTCAGAGTTCCAGCTGGCTTTTGGCACCCGACCTGAGGTCTTCAATGGCAGCAAGGCCTGCATTGAATTAGCGAAACCGAAAGCGACGCGCCTCTGGCTGGAACAGCTTTGTCTCAACCAAAACACGATTGCGTGATGTAACTCCCGTCGTTGACGGTGCAGGCAGCAATCCTTACCTATGGCCTCACAGATGCAGAAGAGGCCAGATTGGCATGGCTCATGGGTCGATCGCTTTGTCTGAAATTTTAATTATCTATCCAGAATCCAAATCAAGCAAGCACTAAGTCAAGTAGGTATGACAGCGCCTCACCGTTTCAGCTGGTTGGTACTAGAAGGACACACTCACTTGGGTATGGGTCAAACTTAAACCACCAGGTGACTTCCATTTACCAGGGTTCCATGTGGGGTACCTATTTTTGACCCGCACCCAAATGTGGGTGTCCTTTGAAAATGGGTTCCCCCCAAAAGTACACTCCCACTGGTTGGTGTCCGTTTGGTTTACCCTTAAAACTTCAACCAAGGACCAAAGCCACCCGTCGCCGTCGAAATCCACAAGCTCGGCAGGCCATGGACTGCCGCTTCCCGGGGAGTGGTGCTGCTGCCAAGGCAGCCAGGGAGCAGGACGGGCTTGCCGGTTCGGAAGAGCGGCGTTGGTTTAAAGGAAGGCCACGCACCAGGAGCTGGTGGGCTTTCTGAAGTTTCCCTTCCAAGGTGTTTGGCCAGGTGAGAAAACCGAATGCCGAGTCTGATGTGTTTTTGGTTGCTTAGTATTGGTGCACAGAAACCTTCATTCAGCCTGCTCAAGTTGTATCCTGTTCTGGTCGCACCGTGGCTGCTAGTCAGGCAGACCACCGTGCGCGAATGCACCGTGGTTGAAAAGGATCCGCGGTATGGAGTGTGCCTCGCAGCATGTTGCGCTGAAAGCTGAGTGTCGTGAGAGTCGGGGGGTGGTGGGGTGGTGGGGTGATGGGGTGTGAGGTGTGAGGTGGGTGTGGGGTGGGGTGGAAGGATCAACCCGTATTCTGAATGCTGATCGACTTGCCGGGCCAGGACTTCCCGGTGTCCGTGGTCGCTGGGAGCCTCCAGCAGCGAGTCGAGACGGCGCAGAGCGAGGATGGGCACAGTGGAACCTACGACGCGGCGCGGCGTGTGTCGCTTGAAATCGACCTAAAGCAGGGAACATGCTTGCAGAACATATTGGGACTGGCTGAGTGTAAAGGCCCTTCAAGGTTCACATGCTTTGTTGTAAATGTTTGTTTCTAACTTGCCAGGCAACACTGAAAATACGCATCGCACAGCTCATTACCGGACTGAATTGTAGTTTGTACCTCTTTGTACCAACTCCTGCTTTGGCGCTGCGATTTTAGTTACCTGCCTTGGCTGTGCATCTAGAATCTAGAGCTGCCATTCACACAATGTGGTCGCATTTAGTTCCGATGTTATTCTCCCAGCTGCTGTTGACCAGCTCGTTGTTTGGTATCGTCAGCCCAAACATTTCCCCTATCATTCGGCACCAGTTCACACTGAAGCCCGGGAAAGGCCTGCAAATTGCTTAAAATGTGCTGCAGTGGCCTGTACTCAAGAAACGGCAGACTGCTGTTGGGAGGATGCTGCGTACTTGCTCGAGCGAATGGCAGCTGAGGCAGGGTGTTTGGCCAAATATGAGCCAAGCCCTGGTAAACATGCAGGTTGACGGAGTGCCGGACTACAACGCAATCAACGCCAGGCCAAGTGCAGCATGGAGTTTGGAATCAGTGTCAGCCACTGCTTCCCAATTGAACGAGCCCATTTTACAGCTTCGTCAGGATCTGTGCTGATCCACCCGCTTGTGCAATTACATCTCTTGCAATGATAACGGCGAGGCTGAGCGGCTTTTTCGCCCTGGTCTTCCTGAGGAAGATCTTTGAGGCCACGTTCCTGCAAAGGGCAAACGGTACCTTAAGCCAGGATGCACCATCACACCAGTACTGGGCTGTATCAAAATGCCAAGTGATGCCTGGCTGTGTTCTTCAACCTTGAGGACCGTCCTGAAAGCGAAGAGTTGGCTGAGCTGAAGGACGCACGTTTGAATGAGCAGCATTCCCACACATCGCACGCCGTTGGAATGAGGAGCTGGCAGCAAGGGCCTTGGCCCAAGACGCAGAGCGGGTGGAGATCGACATAACTCTGGGAGGCTGGAGAGCTTGCTCATTTGGCCTAGTTTGAAGGAACAAGACAACAACCAGTCACAAGTGCTCCCTCATTTTGACGCTGTCCCACACATGGTGCTTTCCATCTAGCCATTTGGCTGTGGCTCAAATAAATATTATATACCAAAATGGTACCTTGGTAAATGGAACCAAAGACTAAACCTGCATAACCCCAGCACTTCAATTTTGAGCCACACCCATTTGTCGGAGGCTGCGGTTTCGCGGTTGACGAGTCGCTCCTGCTTTTGGTGAAGCACATGGCGCCAAGGTGCGTCCAGCTTGAAGTTCACTCACAGTGAATTTATTGTGCTTCCTGGATATTGTGGGAAATGGGGAGAGGAAAAGCAAAAGGAGAACCGTGAAGGCAGCCTCCCTCTAATTTGGTGGTTTGAAAAAGCGTTCAATGATACGAAAGATGTGCAAGGCCATAGCGTGTAATTTCCGAGGCTCCAAAGGATTACCTTGGACCTGAAAGGAAGCAGCGGCAAGCTCAGATTGGAAGCCTCTCCTCCAACAACGTCACGCCGTCACGCCTTGCACAAGGCTTGAAGAACGCCAGCCTGGCAGAAGTGGCCAACTTCCTGTCCCCAGATGTACAGGAGAAATTCCCGTCCAGCATGACAGCAACGACACGTGATTGCTTTGACGTGTGTGCTTTGCAGACACGTGAGCGGTTTGCATGTTGGAAGCCCGACTCATTGTCTGCCTTAGCTTCTGTTGGCCTCAGCTTCAACTTTGGCCCGGGGTTCTGGGATCAAAGGGTTTATCCTTGCTTTCTCCCCACCAGTCTTTGTTGTATCACTGACAGTGGATTCCATTTACAGCCCTTTGGCCAGCCCACGGATCCAGGACATCCTGCTGGATTTGCAGGGCTGCCGGACCGTGACGGACACGGGTCTGAAGCGGCACGGAGCTGAGAGAAGTTTGTACGATGCTTGCCCCTGGCCGGCCACAAACGGTGGTCTGTCCCTTGAAGGTGCATCACCTGATGGATTTGTTCGGGAGATGAAACGGATCAATCAACAATATCTGGCTGTACCTGCTTCAAGAAATATGTCTTTCAAGGAGCTTCACCTCATGGATTTCTTCGGGAGATCTCCGGAATCATGGAAAAAACTCGGATCTTTTCGCCAAGGTTCATGGAGAACCTCATGGACTGCGACAGGTCGAAGTTGAGCACCGTCAGCTGTCTTCTCATGGGCACCAAGGCGGCATCGCTGGCTTTCGTTTGGGCGGCATATCAAGCGGCATGTCCCCTGGAGTTGATTTGTTCAGGTCCACAAAAAAGCGGGAACTCTCAGAACATGTTTCTACAAATTGCACATGGCTTGCCACAGAGTTGACCAGATAGACCCTGAATTCAAGAGATTGGCGCTGTACTCGTCCAAGAACATATTATGGACTAGGACCTCCTGAAGAAGTCACACCATAGGTTTGCCAGTGTGCTCTTCCTTTGTGGTCATTCCGAATTTATCTTGCAACCACGGCATTCCTAGATTCTGATGTCTTTATTGATCGAGGAAATCTAGTGCCACCAGAAAGTCATGTATTGACTATTCCAAAAACCTGGAGGACTCACAAAGTAACGAAAAAGATTGGGTACTCGCGCAAGGATCTCCGTGGGGTTGGGTGTGCCTTTGGAGGGAACTGGAACAATTTCTAGGAGGGAAACCAAAGGAAGGCCTACGGTGGATGCCCTAAATGTTGGCAGGGAACGAGGGAGTTTCCCAAAAAATACTAAATTCAACCATGCTGGGTGGTTGGTTTGCTTGCAATCATAGGTGTCCTATGCTTGCAAGTAAACTAACCACCCACCACGGTTGAGTTTCTTTCTTTTTTTGGGAAACTCCCTCGTTCCCTCCCAATATTTCGATCATCCGTACCGAGGGCGGCTACGAGTTCCTTCGGCCTCCCGAATTGGCTCCCGCGAGGTGGTGGAGTCCTGCCAGGAGGCCTGTGAGATCTTGGACCTGGAGCAGATTCAGCAGGCGTGGCTTCGTGAGTCTAAAAGAGTCCGAGCCCGAGTTGTTGTTGTGAAAATCCCGAGTTATTGATATTGATTTAATGTATATTATATATATAGACCATACTCTGTGTGTGTGTGTGTGTTTGTTTATTACATATATATATATATATGTATACGCATTCTGAATGAGAATCTGGAGAGGGGACGTAGCGAAATTTCATTTTCCAATTTGCTGTTGTTGCAGTCCTGGTTAGCCCGGACACCTTGTTAGGCACAACTTGGAGCCAATGATGGGCCACTAAGTCATTCAAGGGAGTGGGAATATATATATATATACACACACACTCACTTCCTGTGTTCATGTCATGCATGCAAGGCACGATGCAACACAGTTCACAGCAGGCGGTCTAGCTGCACCCTCACAGGAGCTTCCCTGAAAGAAGCGGCAGGTGCTAAGAGGTCTTGCCGTCTTACCAGTTGACATTTGCTAGCATGGGTCAATTGAGAAGGCGATATGGATACCATTGGGTCAAAGATTTGACCGCCCATCAGCCCATTCGTATTGCTTCCCTGCATACCAGGTTGTAGTGGCTGGTGGGTTTTGAACCGCGCGACTGATCCGCCACACAGGCATGCCCACCTTCCCACAACTGCAGCCGCACATTCTGTCTAGCGAAATCCAAGGCTTTCCCCTGAGAAAGCGACAAATTGGCCTGGCCCAGAAGACGGAAGGGAACGTCACCTGTTGCTACAGTCAGAATACAGAGAAACCACGAGCGAGCGTCGAGGATTTTTGTTCCAGCGCCGGTGCTCCTAAATGTCTGTTGCACCAAGAAGCAACGTCCCTTGGATTGTCCCTTGCCTTAGGCTGGTGCTGTAGAAAATTCCTTGGAAGCTACTAACTTGAAGGAGCTGGAGACGGTGGCATTGCCACTTGTGAGTCAGGACACTGGAAGGTAAGCCAGCTGCAAACTTCAAGCAACCCTTTGAGTGGGCATGTGCCTCGTGTGTCAGGTACCAGCGTGATCATTTCAAGCTAGACTCTCATCCACCGCGCAATGGGTTTGGGTCGGTTGCTCATAGATTGGCCACGCAGAGAGATGTGGCAGGTTCGCCGCGATTTGGAACTTCAAGAGAGGCCGGCACCGAGTGGTGTGCCAACAAAGCGCTATTTGCCAATAGCTTTCAGAGCCACAGGAAGAACCAGATCAAGCGCTTGATGAAGAATGTGCTGCAAGGGAAGGCCGGAGCTAGCCTACCTTCACCTTGCCTTCTTGCCACAGCCGCGGGTGGAAAGGGCAGGCTTGTCCTTGTTGTCTCCTGTCATTATGGCTTCGGGGTGGTTTTCCCTTTGAGGCGGCTATCGCATCCTTCCGGAAGCTGCTGCAAAGCAACGTGGAGGCATTGCCTACCTTCCAAAGCCATCCCGCAATGGGGGGATGTATTTGCTTGCACTTATCTCGTCAAGGGCCGTTTGGGTTGCAGAAACATGTGGTGATTGCAAGATCGCCTCAAGCCTGAGGCGAGTATGGCTCGGATATGACAAAATCCGAGCACACGTCAGGTGGCTGTCCGCGGAATCCTGGGGGAGCAGGGCTCGGTGGACGCTTGCCATGTGGAGTGGGACATCTCCAGCAACACGACTGCAGACGTGCACGCTCGCAGCCCTAAGCTGGGTGCGGTCCTGGTGTTTGGACAATCTCGGATAATTAGTCGTAAACGTCTACTTCAGCTCAATCAAAACCAAGGCCCCGTTCTGGTCGGTTGGGTTTTCCTGAAAGGTTTTGGCCATGCAACAGACAATTCTGTGGATGGACGATATCATACGATCCGTTCGCACCACTTTGAATCCTTTTGTTGGTATTTGCAGGCAAATCATCATTCCAGGGTTCTTAGGTTGTTGCAGGAGTCCATCTGCCGCAGTGGAAGTAGTTGCATCCCTCGTGTGAGCTGTGGCATCTCAAGGCAAGGAGATGCCTTTAACCTTTGACAAGGCAGGTGCCATATGCATGCGCGGCATGTCGCTCGACAACATATGGGTGGTTGAGATGACCAACACATGCCGCGTTGGGAAAACGAGGTCAATGAGTCCAAACAGTGCAGGGTTGCAGAACGAGGTGGAAGCACGCGACCATTCAAACAAAAGTCATGGGGAAAGTGAGGCTTCGGACAGCTCGAAACCAGATCGATCCGCCGCTAGGCCTTCCTCCGAGTGCTCCTGGATGTCGGCGCAACCATTGAGTTCATGCAACTGGCCCAGGGAGCTTCGGTCAAAGGCAGGGGAAGTTGGAGCTGAGCCTTTCAGGAAGCGCTCGGAAGCACCTCCATACTCCGTGCTGTGGCCGCACGAGGCGCCAAGAGCAACCGAGGAAAGCCAAGCTTAAAATCGAGGTGTCACAGGTCCTGCGCTTTGCTGCACGGAGGTGTAGATGCTTTCGGTCATATTCGGCCATGCAGCTTTTCCAAACCTGCTGTCCGCTTCCATGTCATCAAGAGACAACAGGGACACTCAGATCGAAAATGTGCCTGGAAGCAGCGCGAGGTTTCATGCCAGGTCCAGTGGGTCCAAGTCTCGTGATCCGAAACAAAGTTCGCACTCACGCGTAAGCCGCCTTGGCCAGGGCCCAGATCGGGACCCCGAGTCTTTGACCTACAAGGTGAACCACCGTCACCAGGCCTTCCGGCGCTCATTTGGCCGGCGCGGCGCTCGATTTGGCCAACTTCTTTTTGAAACCAAGAAGTCGTGGGACCTGCGGATGCATAGGCATTGTGCTGTCATTCTACAAAAAAAGCAGCGCTTGCCAAGCTGATCAGACCAACAGGTCGCGGGCACTGGTTGAACAGCGGGCGCCAGTCGCGACAGGCGTTTGCGGATTCTTTCGCCCAGAAGCTGCCGGAGGCATGCTGCACTCTTCCAACATCAGGGGCGCAAAATAAAGTTCTGGGAGAGAATTTCTGCATCCAATATGGGTATGGGTCAAAAGTAAACCACCAGGGGACCAATGGGGACCACAAGTTTTAGTCATTGTCTCCATTTACCAGAATGCCATTTTGGGCCCCTATTTTTGACCCACGGCCATATGTTGCCAGACATGCCACTGTCAGATTAGCACACTTTGCTGCTTACCCCCGGCAAGGTGCAGAAAACCGGCAGGAAAGCGGTTGCTGCTGGCTTGGTGGAGCCCGCAGCTGAGCATTCGGCAAAATGCTCCGGAAGCCAATGGAAGCAGGCTGCATTCTTTCTGGTTGCAGAGATGGCCTTTTCTATCTGAGCTCATTTAGGCATTTTCGGTGGGCCTCAAGGGTGGCACCAATCAAATGTTGCCAAGGCATGTGGTAAGGTTATTCATGGTTGTTGGACGTTGAAGGGCAGGCAATGCAATGAAAACCATCCCAAAATCTACCGTTGGTTAAACGTTTGTTTTGGACAAGGCCATGAAGCATTCGAAAGGAATCCTGAAAGGTTTGGTGCTGGTGCTCAGAGTCAGATGAAAATATCCCACAGGGATTGATTGCTTTCTCACAGTTGGTCGTGACAGCGAGGTATGATGTAGGTCAGCCACTAGGAGCTCACAAGATCCAGAAACTACTCATGCTCATCGGGTTCAGATGTTTTGAGCCGTTCAAATGGCTATGGGTCAAAAGCCCGTAATTGCAGTGAACATCCCAATCCCCACTAAAATAGACTAAAATGGGTGCCCCCAAAATGGTACCATTCGTGTTGACTCACGGCCAAATGACACTCCCGATTCTTGAGGCCTTGATGCTCAAATTGCACCAACACAGTCCTGGGAGATGTTTCCCAACTCAGATCCCCTTTTCAGCAAGCATTGAAGGGAATCACAGGTGTTTCAACCCTCGGTGTGTGAGTGTGAACTTCACAAATGGGCGGCTTCCCTTTTCTTTCGGTAAACGCCACCCCAAGGCGCATGCCGAGTTGGTCATGGGGCATAACCTATGGCTCCATTTTGGGGTGGATGAACATCCATTTGCCACCTATTTTGATGTTCACCAGGGGTTTCCTGGGTTTTGACCCACAGCCATTGGCGTTTCTTTCTTTTCTCCCGGTAAAAAAACCACCCCAAGGCGCACGCCGAATCTTAGGTCCATCGTTTCGGGAGGACCTGGGAGGCTCCCCACCTGTCCTTCCCAGCTCGCTCGCCTTCGCGCTTTCGCATTCGCTCGGCGCAAGCCGAGGGCCCGCGCCGGGGACCTCATCGTGGCCACGGTGCCCAAGTCCGTGGCCGCGCGGTTGGCCTTCATCTACGCGGCGCGGGAGGCGGCTCGCTCTCCGCGTGCCGCGCGTGTGTGTCAAGTCGAGAAAATGGCTGGTCAAAAATAGGGTAACCCCAAAATGGCTCCTGGTAAATGGAAACAATGACTAAAACCTGTTTCCCGGTGGTTTAATTTTGACCCACACCCAAACAGGGAAGACCAAATAGATCAGATGGATCACTAGTAGATCAACTAGTAGAATAGTAGATCAGAGTTGGAACCACCTGAAAAGTGAAAGGTGGACATGAATCCCAACCGAATGTTGATGTCCACCAAAGGGTCCCGTGTTAAATGTCATACCCTAAGGGGGGAAGGAAGGGCCCAATCTTGTTTGACAGATCGAGAACCACGTTGGCATGGACACAGACTGCCGCTCTGTATGGTTGGAACGAGATCCAGAAAGATTGGGGGACCACTTTAGGATGCTAAGCCGAAGCCAGACCGAAACCAGTTGAATGAAGAGTACGATTCTTTTGGAAAGAGTGTGCTGGACCAGGACTGGTTGAATTCCCCCTGGCTTGCACCAGGGTCATTCTACTGGGAGCAATCATGAGGAATCAACCATGCCTGGGTCTAGGTAATTCTTGGGGCGTAAGGATGGGACCTGTGCCTCCACACAAGGAGCGATGACCAAGCAGCGCATGACATGAGCCAAGGTCAATTGTGACTCAACTGGGAAGGCATTTCTGCTTGTTCCACATAGCTACAATGAGCACCAGCAACATTCAAGGAGATACCAGTAGGAGTTCTTTGAGAGGGTGTGGAAACCTCAAAATTAACTTATCCTTTTCTCAGCACAACCATGGGTGGTTTCAACCTCTGTCATTCTTGTTGGCTCAGCTGGAGAATAGCTTGTTTGCTGCTTCAAGGCGCAAGGAGGCTGTCAGCATGGCTCGAGAAGATTTTCCAAACGCAACGAAGAGCCCAGACCTGAGGCCATGGGCACCCCTTGGTAGACTCGAAAGGGGAACCCCCGCCAAACCGAAAGGAAGAACCAGGTAGATGAGTCACACTCAAAAACGATTCGGGTAGATGAAGGTTAGGGACGAACCAGAAATATCTAAGGATATCCGCCTAAATTCAATTCTTTACATGGTTCTGGGTAGACCATGTTATCCGCCTTCTTGATCCTTGAAGCACTGTTCTGGGATTACGACCATTTTATTACCGGGTTTTGATTGTGACTGCCTTCTAAATTATTTACATGGTTCTGGGTAGACCATTGAAATACCGGATTTTGATTGACTCAAATGCAGCTCCAAAGCGAGCCTTGCCAGGGCAACACGGAGGCGGTGGCGGCGATCTTGCGGGAGAAGGGAAGCGATCTGCTGGCCCAGGCCGGGCAACCCACCGGTCCCGGGGATTCCACACGCAGACTGGCAGGGGGAAGCTGACGGAAAGCCGGGCTTCAGAAGGCCATGCGGCATAACCAATGGCTCAATTTGGGGGTGGATGAACATCCATTTGCCACCTATTTTGATGTTCACCAGGGGTTTCCTGGGTTTTGACCCACAGCCAGAAGATAACCCACGCTCGGGATACATGCACACGTCCAATGGAAGGTGACAGCATCTGACGGAAAGCCGGACTTCAGAAGACAAAGTGGCCTGCCCCAAAGTGCCCCAAAGGGCCGGGTGGCAGGCTCGGCAATCCCCCGGCCAAATGCAGCGACAGGTGGATGAAGCCACTTGGGACGAGGAGGACTTGCCTTAGCAACGTCGTGCTGGGTGCTGCATCTGAGAACTCCTCAGTGCATTTGTGCGGATTGGATGTAATTATACGTACATGAATATGCTATATGACATGTTGCCTGGCCTACTTTGATGCCATGCGAAAGGTTACATGTGGTATGTTGCATAGAAATGAGTTATGCGCATTGAATTGTGCAATTGGTTCACAGTCATTGGGCCCTCATCAACCTTGGTGAAGCTAGTTATGAATGACCTGTGCAACCTTGTATGTTGATGCTTGCGGCAGACGTGTTGTACCAAAACTTTGACCCAACCTGACATGAACCAAAACCCGAGGAAGCTGAGCCCAGCCCTACAGCAGCCCGGGTTCTGAAACCACCTGGTCCTCTTGTTCGAATCACCTCCAGCCCGCCCTAAACCCCAAAGCAATAGATTGTGTTTCTCACTCCACTCTCATCACCGTTCGGGACTCCCACTTGAGTGCCAGCAAAGGTGCCTCCTCTAAAGGGATATACCATGATGTCGATGTTTGATGGCACCTGACGCACCAACC